ATTATTCCAAATTCCCGTTGTGGGGGAGGTACCAGAAGGAGTGAGCCAATATTGCCCATCTCCACGATATACCAAATTTTAACCAAATTTGATACTTTCTTGGAGAGATTGAGATGCGACGTTTTGGCCGCATCGAATGTAGCCATATGGCGGTGACTAAAGAACACCAGAAATATATGACATATTTTTAAATATTTGTAGAACAGTGTTGGATTGTTTGTACGGGTTTGTTAAGTTCCCTCAAGTCGTTGATTTTTATTTTTTTTTTTTTTTGAATATCTGTGAAATTTGTTATTAATATTTTTTTGGAGTCCCTATGATGTCCTTATTTAGTCATAGCCATGGATATCGTTAACTTTTTTTTTAATTTATTTTTTTTTTAATTTAAGTATTTTTGTTTTTTCTAGAAACTCTTTCTTGGACCTCCCAACATCTTGTCCTTTAAATATTTAAAGACAATGTGATATTAAACTAAACTAAAATTTGCCATTTGCCCACTTGTCAGCCAACTCGCTGGTAGTTAGACATCAACTTGTTGAAGCATATCATATTTTTTCATAATTATCAATTCAAGTTCGAAAAATTTCCTTCAGATGGCAGCGGAATTCAATTTCATTAAAAATTTTGAGACACAACTTTGGCCGTTAGAAAAGACACTAATTATTTCTCAAGAATTTTTGGCTTGGTGTTAAATGATCTCCTGCGGGGTTAGAAGTGATAGAAAAACAATATGCAGTCAATGGCAACTGAAATATGAAAACAGTGTTGTCACATGATTGCTATTTTGGATGAACAAATTTGAAAAATATATTTTTTGACTAACATTTGGGAAAATTAAAATATATCAGTTTTTGATAATTACCTTCATAAATGGAAATAAAATGGTTTTTGTGAAAAAAAAAAATAACTCGGCCTAAATAAAGAAAAAAAATAATTAAAAAATTAAAAAAAATCGTCCGAATCAGTTATAAAAAAATCCGACCAATTTTATTTATTCAACCTAATTATAGTTTCTAATAATAATTTATTCCCAAAATACAAAAAAAAACTAGGATTAAAAAATTATAAGAAAACCTAAAATCAAAAAAAAAAAAAAAACGACCAAATTTGCTAAAATAAAATTCGACCAATTACTATGTAAACCTTTTTCAACCAATTACTGCACCCAAAAAACTAAAATAATAAAATATGGCAAAAAAGAGTATCAAAATTATATATAAACCCAAAAAAAATATATAAATTAAATATTCGACCAGTTCATATCATAAAATTTTCGACCAAATAATTGTTTCCAACAATAAATCTTAATCTTTTCCTTTTATTTAAGGGAAGAACTCTTTCCCCCAAAAGTCTCCAATGACATTTGCAAATTTCACGAAATACAGGGTAGAATAATAAATTTTACATTTTTTTTTTTTAATTTTATTGAAGCAAAAAATATCGGAAATAGCATCAAATTTTAGAATAAGTTTCGATTTGTTAGAATTGGTCACCTTTGTCACGAATTATGGCCTTCAAACGGCCAATGAAACCATCACACGCTGCCCGAATGTTGCTCTTCGGTGTTTTGGCCCATTCCCGGCGAAACGCTTGCTTGAGGTGATCGGAATTTTGGTATTTTTTAGTGCCAATCTTGCTTTCCAAAATACTCTAGAAACAATAGTCCAATGGATTGGTATCCGGAGATTTTGGTGGCCATTTGGTGCGGTGGAAATGAAGCGAGGTACATTTTGTAACCATTCTTAGGTGGCGCGTACTGAGTGCCATGGTGCTGAGTCCTGTTCGAATGTCCAAGGTATGCGGCCAAAATGTTTGCGTGCCCGAGGCTTTAATACACCCTCCACAATATTTTCGCCATAATATTCGGCATTTATACTGATGCCACGGTCGATTAATACTAGCGGAGAGCGACCATAGGCTGTTATGGCGGCCCACACCATCACCATGGCCGGCGCTTGAGTTCTGGTGGCCAACCGAAGGTGCACATTTACAGCTGACCTCTTTGGTCAGTAAACACGATCATTTTGTTTGTTTACAAACTGCTGGACAACGAATGTTTTCTCATCGGAGACAGAGAAAGAAAACCAAATTCGGCAATTCACCACTTTCGGCCAAGCGAAGTGAACTCTTTAGCTCTTCTGAGTCTATTTTCTTTCTGTTACGGTGTAAGTTCTTGGACTTTTTAGAATTTCAATGGCTTTACCCCGAGCTCATTTTTCAATATTTGCCGAATGGAATATTGCAAAATGTTTAGCTCACGAGTCATTTTTCGGCCACTGCGACGCGGGTTTCGATCAAGTCGCTTCTTTACTTTTCGAACCATTTCTGCTGATGTTGCTGTTTTCGCTACCAGTATCACGTAATCGGTAACGAGCGATGGTACGAGACACAAAAGATTTCGATTCACATTTTAATGCTGGAGAACTCTAACGATAGCCACTTGTGGTTTTCTAGCCAAATATAAAGAAATCACACGATCACGCTCGAATTCTGCCACGAATAACTTTTTTTCTGGAAAATTCTCAACAAAATGCTTTTGTACGCTTGTAAACAATATAATAAGCTGTCACTGGAATAATTTTAACAGCTGTCGGACGTGTGGCTTAGTAATGACACCAGTCTGAATTTGGTTGCAGTTTTTTCATCTCACCCTGTATATTCCTAAAATAAGAAAATAAATAAAACTAGTAAAAAAGCAGTAAATTCGGCCGGGCCGAACATTGAATACCCTCCACCATTTGGAACGAATTAGGAAATTTTCGAAAAATATAACATTTTAAAAATACCGAATATAGCCGTTATATTATAGGCATTGTTTGTCACAAGCCATTACCATATTCAAATTCGAAACTTGAAATAAACGAACTTTGTTCGAACTTCAAATGCCAAATTTGAAACAGTTCCGGTGAATAATGTCGCTAAAATCATCAAAATACCGAATATTGGGAGGTATCGTTATATGGGGGCACAGATAATTTTCTGTCACAGGCTGCAGTATCCATTTCGAACTTCAAACACCAAATTTGAAACAATTCTGGTGAATAATGACGCTAAAATCATCAAAATATCGAATATTGGGAGGTACCGTTGTATGGGGGCTATATGAAAACGTGGACCTACATGACCCATTTACGAACTTAACCTGCCTACTGCCAAAATAGACATTTGTGCAAAATTTTAGCCTACTATCTCAATTCGTTCGAAAGATAGCGTGATTACAACAGACAGACGGCGGACGGACATCGCTAAATTGACTTAGTGTTTTACGCTTGGAAAAAAATTCTTTAAAAATCCACGTTTATAAGTCCATTGGTCCCTGGAAAAAATTCTTCAAAAAATTTCACGTTTATAGGACCATTGGTACTTGGAAAAAATTCTTTAAAAAATCCACGTTTATGGGTCCATTGGTACTTGGAAAAAATTATTTACGAACTTAACCTACCTACTGAAAAAATAAACATGTGTGCAATATTTTAGCCTTCTATCTCAATTCGTTCGAAAGATAGGATGATTACAACACACAGACAGACGGATGGACATGGCTAAATCGCCTTAGAATTTTACGCTGATCAAGAATATATATACTTTGTTGGGTCTAAGATCATTATTTCGATGAGTTACAAACGGAATGACAAAGTTAATATACCCTCCATAAAATGGTGGAGGATATAAAAACAGGAATCCTCAAATATTAAAAAAATTAATTAATATTTTCGATCAAGTTATGTTTCCACATATTTCCCCACAATTATAAATTCGACCATCCCCCGATTATAAATTCGACCAAATTTTGTGTATAAAAATCGACCAATTTTTTATGAAAATTTCGACCAGTTTCCCCAAAAATATTCCTAATATAATAATATAAAATAATAAAATATGAGAAAAATAATACCAAGACTCAACAAATTTCGACCAAATTATTTATTAAAAAAAATCGACCAATTTTTGATATAAAATATTTTCCGACCAAATTTTGTTTCAAAAAAATAATTTTAAAATAACAAAATTTTAACTAGCATCGTAAAATTTTAAATTCCCAAAAAAATATTTTTTAAAAATTGCTTCCAAATTTGTTGTCCAGAAATCTCCCAAAAATCCAATGGTGTTTTTTATTTCCTTTACAAATGGACAAATGCCATAAAATACACACAAATATGTAGGATTTTTTGTATGTATGTACGCACACCATTACCGCCACAACATAACCACAAAACAAATCCCCAATACCAACAACAACAATAACAACACCATTAACTCTTTTGATATCGGTTAATATCTTCGTTTGGGAAAAACGACGAAAACACTTCGTAAAGAGGTAAGTAAACACAAACATAACAATCCAACAGCAGCAGCAGCAGCAGCAACGATAAAACACACACGAACATCCCAGCCGAGGAGGCATAATGATGTCGCTGCTGCTACTGCTGGGGGGAAACAAAGGAGCGAAGTAAACTGCAGCAGATCCCCTCGCGCCAAACAACCAGCAGAGAGCAATTCACAATGTTTGCGGCCCGGTAGTGGTCCGCTGCTCCAGCTGACGCACGTATCTTGGCACTGTAACGATTAAAGTCTATCGTCGACAACGCACTGGAATCGCACAGTTTTTCAAAAGACTCGCAAACGATTGGTTGGACTCGCAATTTTCTCGCCTGTCTGTCTTCTTGAACACAACGTGTGCCCAACAACAAGTGAGAGTAGGCCGGTATTTTTTGTTTTCGCAAATCAAACAAACAACACAAATTGAATTGTTTTTTAAAGACGTTACGAAAAATTCTTCAAATAGTTTTTGGAACAGAAAACGCGTTTTGAAAAATGTATTGAAAACATTTTTAAAACAAATTGCACCGGTTTGGTGAAATTTTGAAAAGAAAAAAATAATTACAATCTGTTTTTCAATTCAACGAAACAAATTTAGAAAAAAGTGAAAAAAGGAAAAAAATATTTAAATAAAAAAATATTAGAAAAAAAATTAAAATTTTGAAAAAAATTGAAGTTTTTTGAAAATTGTTTTGGATTTAAAAAAAACCGCAACTTCCCTTCGATAAAAAACGACTCGAAAATGTCACGAAAATGCATTTTACATTCCCTCTACCTTGTGGTGCTGCTGCAACTTTGCTATAGCTTTAATCCTGCCGATCAGGATAATGGCACAACGGCATCCTATCCGGATGCCACAGAATCTCAAAGCCCAGCAGTACCGATATCACAACAACTGCCGCTGTATCAAAATAGACGTCGCCTCCTGTGGAGTGCTGCTGTCATTATTTTCGGTGTCATCGGCAATCTTTTGGCTTTGGTCATTTTGGCGCGCAAAAAAGCCACCAAACACAGCAAATACACGTTCATGCTAAGGTGAGTTAATGGTGTTTAGAAAATGAAAATCAAAAGGGAGGAAGAAAAAAATAAAAAATAAGAGGTTTAGGATTGTAAAAGATTGAAAATCAATTCTGAGATAATAAAAAGTATCAATTTCTCGATTTTTCGAAAATATTTTTGTTGTCCAACAATTGGTCCCAGGAAGAAATTCTTTAAAAAATCCACGTTTATGGGTCCATTGGTCCCTGGAAAAAATTCTTTAAAAAATCCAAGTTTAGGGGTCCGTTGGTCCCTGGAAAAAATTCTTTAAAAAATCCAAGTTTAGGGGTCCACGTTTATTGGTCGGATAGTCCTTGGAGAATATTCTTAAAAAAATCCACGTTTATGGGTCCATTGGTCCCTGGAAAAAATTCTTTAAAAAATCCACGTTTATTGGTCGGATAGTCCTTGGAAAAAATTCTTTAAAAAATCCACGTTTAAGGGTCCATTGGTCTTTGGAAAAAATTCTTTAAAAAATCCACGTTTAAGGGTCCATTGGTCTTTGGAAAAAATTCTTTAAAAAATCCACGTTTATTGGTCCATTGGTACTTGGAAAAAATTCTTTAAAAAATCCACGTTTATGGGTCCATTGGTACTTGGAAAAAAATCTTTAAAAAATCCACGTTTATGGGTCCATTGGTACTTGGAAAAAATTCTTTAAAAAATCCACGTTTAAGGGTCCATTGGTCTTTGGAAAAAATTCTTTAAAAAATCCACGTTTAAGGGTCCATTGGTCTTTGGAAAAAATTCTTTAAAAAATCCACGTTTATTGGTCCATTGGTCCTTGGAAAAAATTCTTTAAAAAATCCACGTTTATTGGTCCATTGGTCCTTGGAAAAAATTCTTTAAAAAATCCACGTTTATTGGTCCATTGGTCCTTGGAAAAAATTCTTTAAAAAATCCACGTTTATGGGTCCATTGGTACTTGAAAAAAATTCTTAAAGAATCCGTTTTTTAGACGTTTGGGCCTTGGAAAAAAATCTTAAAAAATCCGTTTTTTGGACGTTTGGCCCATGGAAAAAATTCTTAACAGATCGGTTTTTTGGACGTTTGGGCCCTTGGAAAAAAAATCTTAAAAAATCTGTTTTTTTGACATTTGGCCCTTGGAAAAAATTCTTAAAAAATCCGCCTTTTGAACGTTTGGCCCTTGGAAAAAATTCTTAAAAAATCGGTTTTTTGGACGTTTGGCCTTTGGGAAAAAATCTTAAAAAATCCACTTTTTGGACGTTTGGCCCTTGGAAAAAAAAATCTTAAAAAAAACCACGTTTATGGGTCCTTGGATAAAAATTTTTAAAAAATCCACGCTTATTGGTCGGATGGTCCTTGGTCTTTGAAAACCGACCGAAAAAATCTTTAAATCCAAAGTAACCTCCTAATCTGTCTCCAAGTGCCAATTCTCTTTTATGTAGGTTAAATGTTATCTCCGAAATTATTACCAAATTCATTGGTTTTGTTTACCTACTCCGGTTGGCACGCACTTTTATATCTATTCTAGCTGCGCCTATTTGGCATTATCTTAGTTAAAATATCTTATCTCGTATAAAACTTGTATGTTTGTGTATAAATTAAATATTTGGGAGAATATCTGTCGAAAACAAACGGTGAAAAACATGGTTGGATATAAAATGACGAGGCACCTTAAATTATGATGTTGAAGTATTTTTTTCCAAGGACCAATGGACCCATAAACGTGGATTTTTTTAAGATTTTTTTCCAAGGACCAATAGTCCAATAAGCGTGGATTTTTTTTAAGAATTTTTTCCAAGGACCAATGGACCCATAAACGTGGATTTTTTAATGAATTTTTTTCCAAAGACCAATGGACCCATAAACGTGGATTTTTTAAAGAATTTTTTCCAAGGACCAGTGGACCCATAAACGTGGATTTTTTAAAGAATTTTTTTCAAGGACCATCCGACCAATAAACGTGGATTTTTTCAAAGAATTTTTTTCCAGGGACCATCCGACCACTAAATGAGTTTTTTTTTAAATTTTTTCCAAGGACCAATAGTCCAATAAACGTGGATTTTTTAAGAATTTTTTCCAAGGACCAATGGACCCATAAACGTGGATTTTTTAAGAATTTTTTCCAAGGACCAATGGACCCATAAACGTGGATTTTTTTAAGATTTTTTTCCAAGGACCAATAGTCCAATAAGCGTGGATTTTTTTTAAGAATTTTTTCCAAGGACCAATGGACCCATAAACGTGGATTTTTTAATGAATTTTTTTCCAAAGACCAATGGACCCATAAACGTGGATTTTTTAAAGAATTTTTTCCAAGGACCAGTGGACCCATAAACGTGGATTTTTTAAAGAATTTTTTTCAAGGACCATCCGACCAATAAACGTGGATTTTTTCAAAGAATTTTTTTCCAGGGACCATCCGACCACTAAATGAGTTTTTTTTTAAATTTTTTCCAAGGACCAATAGTCCAATAAACGTGGATTTTTTAAGAATTTTTTCCAAGGACCAATGGACCCATAAACGTGGATTTTTTAAGAATTTTTTCCAAGGACCAATGGACCCATAAACGTGGATTTTTTTAAGATTTTTTTCCAAGGACCAATAGTCCAATAAGCGTGGATTTTTTTTAAGAATTTTTTCCAAGGACCAATGGACCCATAAACGTGGATTTTTTAATGAATTTTTTTCCAAAGACCAATTGACCCATAAACGTGGATTTTTAAAAGAATTTTTCCAAGGACCAATTGACCCATAAACGTGGATTTTTAAAAGAATTTTTTCCAAGGACCATCCGACCAATTAACGTGGATTTTTTAAAGAATTTTTTCCAAGGACCATCCGACCAATTAACGTGGATTTTTAAAAGAATTTTTCCAATGACCAATTGACCCATAAACGTGGATTTTTAAAAGAATTTTTCCAAGGACCAATTGACCCATAAACGTGGATTTTTAAAAGAATTTTTCCAAGGACCATCCGACCAATTAACGTGGATTTTTTAAAGAATTTTTTCCAAGGACCATCCGACCAATTAACGTGGATTTTTAAAGAATTTTTTCCAAGGACCATCCGACCAATAAAGAATTTTTTGTTTTTTTTCAAAACCACTCTAAAATTCTTGTCATATAATTCTATTTTAACATCATTTTCATTCTCTGCATTTCCAACTGCGCAATTTCCAATAATATTTTCAAATATTCCGAACAATCACTTTTTTATTGCTCGAAAGAGATTTTTCTGCAAATATTATTTTTAATTATTTTTTTATTGCCATCAAACATTCTAAAAGTATTTGTTTTTTTCAACTTGATTTTCATCGAAATATTGAAAATTCCTAATTATAATTCATGTTTACTTAGGCCTGGCCATTCATCTAAAAGCCACGGCAACAAAGTTTTCTCACAGAATTGGAAAATGGCCATTAAAACGAGTTACATATTAGCCTAGTCGTAGTCTATGGCATGTTCTGTCTGTCCCGCATTATTTTGACTAGTTAAAATTGCTAGTTGTTCAGTTTTTTTTTTGCTGTTTTAAGTCTTGTAAAAAAATGTTGCCTCAGGCAGAGTTGAACAAACTAAAGTGTCCAATAGAGTTCAAGGCGATTTTTGTTATTGAATGTTACGAAAATTAAAGAGGAGTTTGTTGACTCCATGGTAATTGTTGTTCAGCAACAGCTGTTAATGTTGTTACAATTTTAAATCGGGTTGAGGAAAAAACAAACATTTAGAATCGGTTCTTGCAGGGGGTTTAAAATGTAATTTTTAGTTATTTATTTTATTTTATTTTATTTATTTTTTTTTTTTTTTGAATTGTAATAACTATCAAAATATTTTTGCCTCAAAGATTCGGAAAACATTGAAAACCGAAAAACCGGTTACAATGTTTTTCAAAATTGTAACATTATAACAAGTTTAATATTCTTTGAGGTAGGCACTTGTTAGTGCAATTTACAGTCCATATTTAATTTCTTATTATCACAGCAGCAGCACAGAGCTTCAATAATGTGTATTAGGGTGGTAATATTTCATATCAAAATATTTCCAAATAAAAAAAAATATTTTTAAAAATCATAGAAAATTATAACTTGCCGACAGGTGTAAAATTATAGACAGATGTGAAGAATCTAAAATTGTGACCATTTTTGGGTGAGGTACCAGAAGAGGTGGACCGATACCTATAATTTTTAAACCAGATCTTGTGTTAATAAAAATATTAGCATGTGTAAGGTTTGAGAAGAGCCGGATATTTTTTCTACATTTTAAGAGCGTTTTAGTTTTCCAAAATTTTGACTTTTTTTAAGGGGGAGGTACCAGAAGGTATAAGACAATATATTTCATATTCACATCAGAACTTCCTTTTGTAGAGATATTAAGATGTGCCGAGTTTAAAATTAATCGAATGCTCATATCGCATTTTATGAGCGTTTAGGTTTTTCAAAAATTTTACGCCTTTGTGGGGGAGGTACCAGAAGGAGTGGGCCGATATATCCCATCTTTACAGCAGATCTTGTGTTGGTATAAATATTGCAATATTTGAGATTTAAAGAGAATCGGATGTTTAATCCAAAATTTATGAGAGTTATATTTATACAAAATTGTTGGACTTTTGTGGGGGAGGTACCAGATGAAGTGGACTGATATATTTCATATTCGCATCAGATCTTGTGTTGGCTGAAATATTGAGATATGCCGACTTTGAAGAGAATCGGATGTTTAATCCGAAATTTATGAGAGTTAAAATTATTCAAAATTTTTGGACCTTTGTGGGGGAGGTACCAGAAGCAATGGACTGAAATATCCTATCTTCACTTAAGATCTTGTGTTGATAGAAATATTTGGGATATGTTGAGTTTGAAGGTAATCGGATACTCATTTTGCATTTTATGAGAGTTTTGGTGTTTCAAAATTTTGAACCCCTTGTGGGGGAGGTACCAGAAGGAGAGGACCGATATATCCCACCTTCACACCAGATCTTCTATTGATATAAATATTGAGATGTGCCGAGTTTGAAGGTAATCGTATGCTCATTT